GTTACTAGCCTGAGGAACTGAGGAATAAGCACAGGATAACCTGTGTGGTGTGTAGCAGTTGAGTGAGTTGAATATGATGGGTGTTACGTGATGTCTCCTGTCTTAGTGGACCTTGGGCTGATCATCTTGAAGAGACTGGAAGGTGCTGCAGCCACCTCCCATCCCCTTCTTGGGGCAGAGGAAAGTTGAAGTGTCAGGAACAGCAATCAAAGGTTCTTTTTAGCTGTGAAAGAGCAGAGGTGAAGAATACGCTGGTGGAAAGGAAAAGGGGTGTTGGATGTGCTGGATGATTTCCATTTGCCTTTCGAGGTCCACTGTTCCCCTGTTCCACTGGCTTTTTGTTCTCGGAGCTTGACCTGTATGGACTACATGTGCAGGGTATGGGTTATATCTGTGACCCCCTTGTATTGTGGCCTCTGATTGGGTTCAGCCAATGGGGCATCAGCAGGAGATCAGAGGGAGGGAGGAGAATGAGATGGAGCTTATTCCTCTGGCTCCCTGCCTATAGAATCATCACACAGGCTGTGTTCCTGGACAAAAGGTCCCAGCTTAGCTCCTGCCAGGTACTTTGAGCCTCCATCTCTGTCCCCGGATCCTTCAGGCCCAGGTGTGACAACAGCACCCTCTACTCGTCCCCAGAGGTACTGCATTGTCCCTTAATGTTTCTCTGCACCTAGTACCCAGCCCCTCTATTAAATTTCCTGAAACTGCCTAGTTTGGGCGTATCATCCGTTTCCTGCAAGACCTCTACTGGGATGTCTGCAAAGCGTGTAAATCAGCCAGATATTGGGACAGGCTGAATAAATGCTAATCCCAGCCCTTGCAGAAATAATTTTGATGACCAGCTGTGGGCTGGACACTGCACATGGAACTTGGGCCCGTTGTACTGATCAGCACAGACTTGTTCAGAACAACTTTATTTTTCCAGACTGCCAGAGTTTTCAGGGGTAGACAAGGCTGGTCTTGCATTGTTAGTTTCTCATGTACGTAAATTATATGTTTTCTTTGGGAAAAGTTTCTTGTTTTTAGCAGTTTGCTTAGGCAGTCATCAAATGAAGAAATTAATGCTGTGAGGCCACAACAGTGTTTATGTGCCATCTAGAGAGGCCTTGTGTCTGGAGGGTAAGCGTCAGACAGTCTTGGGTTTTAGCTTTTTTCCCCACTTGGCTAACTTTGTGAGCTTGGGAAATTTTTTCACCTCCGAGGAGCCTGAGTAGCAGCACTCACCTTAAAGTGTTGTATGAAGATTGAATGAGGTAGGATATAGAAAAGCTGAAGTTTCCCTGTGCCTGACACGTAAAAAGTGTTCTCTAAGTAGTAGTTATTATTAAAAACTCTCATTAAATTTGGGTTCTGTGGAGGAAAAATACAGTTAATATGTGGTTTCCAGCCTGTGCATTGTTGCTCTTTGCACATGTTCTGTGCCTGGGGAGTCTTTGAAGCCTTGAGTTCTGGTCCTTTATTAACGTAAACCCTCCAGGGTGATGATGGTTCAGGGTGTGGTGAGGCCCCCGCCAAGTGAGACTGAAGAGCTGGCATTCCCCGGGTGGTGTTGTCCCCCAGAGATAGAGGGTGGAGGTATAGAGCCGACTTGGCACAAAGCTGACCATGTGCCTTTGTCCTCTGGCTTGTTGGCCTGAACTTGGACCCTTCCTTTCTGTTCCCTGACCTTGGAGAAGGAAGGCTATACAACGGACTGTAAAACCAGGAGGAGAAGGGGAAGGAGGGGGCACCTGATGGGTGGTGAGGTGGACTGTGCTGCTCGCCCAAGCTGTTTGTGAGGGAAAATGAGGAAAAGATGGAAGTAATTTACCAAATGAAGGGCAGCACATCCAAAAGAGGTAAATTCCAACAGCCCTTAATATTTCATTACACAAGTACAATCATCCCTCAGTATCTGTAGGGGGTTCCAGGACCCCCTCGATACCAAAATCCTCGGAGATCAAGTCCCTTATATGAAGTGGTGTAGTATTTGCATGTAACTGGGGCACATACTCCCATATACTTTAAATAATCTCTAGATCAATTCTGATACCTAATACAATGTAAATGCTGTGTAAATAGTTGCCAGTGCTTGGCAAATTCAAGTTTTGCTTTATGGAAATTTCTGGAATTAAAAAAATATATTTTCAATTTCCAGTTGGTTGAATTCATGCAGTAAAACCTGAGGATACAGAAAGCTGACTGTATTTCATGATCATTTTGAAATTAAGAGAGAATTAAATAGGGGAGGAGGTTATAGCTCAGTGGTAGAGCTCATGTCCTGGGTTCAATCCCCAGTACCTCCATTAAAAAAAATACATATATATATATATATATATATATATATATATATATATATATATATATAATATATATACACACACACATAAATAAATAAACCTAGTTACCTACTCCCCAAAAAACAAGCAAATGAAAAAAGAGAGATAATTAAAGAGAGGACAAATTATGTCACCTGATATCTCCTACCCATAGTTTACCACTGATAATACTTTCATATGTCACCTTGTGGACTTTCAAATGCATCTACATTTGTAAATTCAAAGTGGGATTATTTTAGACTGTGGCTCTGTAACCTGCACTTTTCTCTTAACGTGTATATCCTTCTGTACAAATGAATAGAAATCTTAAAAAAAAATTTTATTGAGGTATAATTGACATATCATTATATTAGTTTCAGGTTTATAACATAATGATTTGATATTTGTACATATTGTAAAATGATCACCGCAATAAGTCTAGTTAACATCCATCACCACGCATAGTTACAAAATTTTTTTTCTCGTGATGACGACTTTTAGGATCTACTTTTGAAGTCCACACACAATAAATGCTGGAGTGGGTATGGAGAACGGGGAACCCTCCTACGTTGTTGGTGGAAATGTAGTTTGATGCAGCCACTATGGAAAACAGTATGGAGAGTCTTCAAAAAACTAAAAATAGACTTAGCATATGATCCAGCAATTCCACTGCTGGCATATATCCAGAGAAAACTCTAATTCAAAAAGATACCTGCATCCCAATGTTCATAGTAGCACTGTTTACAATAGCCAAGACATGGAAGCAACCTAAATGTCCATTGGCAGATGACTAGACAAAGAAGCTGTGGTACACACACACACACACACACACACACACACACACACACACAGGAATACTACTCAGCCATAAAAAAGAATAAAATAATGCCATTTGCAGCAACATGGATGGATCTGGAGATTGTCATTGTAAGTGAAGTAGCCAGAAAGAGAAAGAAAAATACCATATGATATCACTTATATGTGGAATCTGAAAAAAAAAGACACAAATGAACTTATTTACAAAACAGAAACAGACTCACAGACATAGAAAATAAACTTATGGTTACTAAGAGGAAAGGGGGGTGGGAAAGGATAAATTGGGAGTTCGAGATTTGCAGATCCTAACTACTACATATAGAATAGATAAACAACAAATTTCTACTATATAGCACAAGGAACTATACTCAGTATCTTTTGGTAACCTATAATGGAAAAGAATATGAAAAGGCATGTATGTATGTATATGTATGACTGAAACATTATGCTGTACATCAGAAATTGATGCAACACTGTAAACAGACTATACTTCAATTTAAAAAATGAGAAAAAATAAAGAAAGCTCAAAAAAGATGTACTTTCTTAGCAACTTCGAATATGCATTATAGTATTATTAACTACAGTCACCACTAACTATAGTCACTATACAGTATCATTAACTATAGTAATGTAGTAGTAATGCTATCCAGTACATCCCCGTAACGGAAATCTGTTAAGTGGCCACAGAACATTTTGTGTCCTTGCCTTATATGGCAATCAGTGGCATAGTTCTGAATAACTAAATTTCTAAGTTATTTCCAGTGTTTTTCATTATTATAAACCAAACTCTGTAGTTGTTTTCATTCTTAAACAGTTTCTGAAACTCTGTGGGTGTCTCTGCCAGTTTATAAGGTATTTGCAGGCAAAGTTTCTGCTTGGACTTCTTTTATATTCCCCAAAGCACCTAGCAGAGTCTCCTAATAGGCATCCCCTTGTTTATTGCTAAATTTGACATTGAAGAGGATGAGAGCTTGATTCTATTGTTTATCTTACTACTTAAGGCCATCACCAGTCAGCCTTTAAAACACATGTATTAGTAATTTAAGATCACATCAGACTTTCTATTACCTGCAGTAGTTACATATAGTAATACTGGCATAACCCTTGGGTTTTCAGAGCATTTTTCACATTGTTATATCATACGGATCTTGGTATGGCTATTATTATCACTCCCATTTTGCAGTGAAGGAAACTGAGATTGAGAGTTTGTGCTCTTCGAGAAGCCACAACATGTTGCCTTTTGTTTAACTTATTGACTTAAAAGAACAGAAAATTAGTGTTAATTTGCACCTTAGTATCCATGATGTTGCTGTTAGGTACCAATCACATAGAAATGGAGTAAACTGTTTTTTTAAAAAATAAATTTTAATTTGATTTTTGCTAACCAATGGTGAGACATGTCTTCTCCTTTAAAAATTTTTTATTATTTTTTTTTCCTTTTTTTAAAATCAAATTTTTTGGGAGTCAGTAATTAAGTTTATTTATTTTTAATAGAGGTACTGGAGCTTGAACCCAGGACCTCATACATGTTAAGCACACGCTTTACCACTGAGCTATACCCTCCCCACTGGAGTAAACTATTTTTCAATGGAAAAATTAGTAGCTAGTTCACAACAAACTTAACATGTTTTTTTTTTTCTAGACAGAGTTATGCCAATTCTTATCTACTAGATTTGCTGGCCATATTATTCAAGGTAATTAAAAAATTTCCAACCCTGCAAGTACTGTCTGGTGGAGATAATTCCTGTATCTGTAACTTCTCTGTGGCCTTTTAGCTTTGCAGTGACCTCACTCTGTCCATGGGTGCATTTTTACAGGTTGGTTTCACTAAGGGAATGGTTATTTATACTTTTCCTTCTCTCTCCCTGCCTTTTGGGTCTTTAGCTATGACAGAGACTCCACTTTCAACGTGTTTGTGGGAAAAGGACAACTGATCGCAGGGATGGACCAAGCTCTGGTCGGAATGTGTGTAAACGAGAGGCGTTTTGTGAAGATCCCCCCAAACCTCGCCTATGGAAGTGAAGGAGTTTGTAAGTATTTGTTTTGTGTTTCTAAACACATCTGCTGAAACCAGCAGAATATTTTGCAGGCTCTTTACAGGCAGACTGGAGAGTCTTTGGAAGCTTTAGGTTGGAGAAAATGAGAAGCAGTGAACACACACACAGCTAAAATTTCATCTTAGGTTTATTTCTTCTAGATATGAAAGAAGTCTTACTAACACAGATGTATTGAATGTTAACCTGTATTGACAGGAAAATTTTGTTCTTTCTCTGTCCTTTCAATTTCATTTGGAAGAAAGGAGGAGTTTTGGAATTTTTTTTTAAGTAAAGTTTATTTATTTATTTTTTGGTGGGGGGAGGTAATTAGGTTTATTTAGTATTTATTTATTCTTAGAGGAAGTAGTGGGGATTGAACCCAGGACCTCATGCATGCTAAGCATGAGCTATACCCTCCTCTCCTCATTTTAGAATTGTATGTATCCCCTTGAGCCCTTTTGGCTTTCATTCACTTTGGCAGCATCCTAGGTGTTTGGCCTGAAAGACAGCAGCTTTTCAGTGTGAACTCTCTTTAATTTCTAGCTGGTGTGATCCCCCCAAATTCAGTGCTTCATTTTGATGTTCTTCTGATGGATATTTGGAATTCGGAAGATCAGGTTCAGATTCACACTTATTTCAAACCCCCCAGTTGCCCTCGGACCATCCAGGTGTCGGATTTTGTAAGGTACCACTACAACGGAACATTCTTGGATGGAACTCTGTTTGATTCGAGGTAGGTACTGCGATTTGTGGTAGCATCAGTGAAATGCCCTTGGTTCCTTCTCATCCGGTTTTTATGCCCATGGAGAAACCAGAAAGGGGACTCTTCCCAACTGTTCTGTGATTGGGAGCAAAGATCCATACATGCCTTTCCTCCAGGGATAGGTATGGGTTTATTGGTCAGCTGAGGTCTGAGTAACAAAACCTTTTGAAGGATGAGTTAGTACGGAACTTATCCCTTTTCTCTTTGGTTTGCAGTCACAATCGCATGAAAACATATGACACATACGTAGGGATTGGCTGGCTGATTCCTGGAATGGATAAAGGGCTGCTGGGGATGTGTGTGGGAGAAAAGCGCATCATCACCATACCTCCTTTTCTAGCCTATGGAGAAGATGGAGATGGTAAGTCCTTCTCATTCTTCGAACCACTCTCATCTGTCCTTATTTCTACTGCAGTGGTAAATTTAACTCATCACATGAAACCCACTAGACCCTTTGGTCTAGACTTGCACTGTCCAATATGGTAGCCACTACTTACATATGGCTATTTACATTAAAATTAAAATTAAATAAAATCTTAAATTCTGTACTTTGGTCATACTGCCAAGTTCATGTGCTTAAGAACTACACATTACTGAGGGCTACTCTACTGGTCAGTGCAGGTACAGAGCATTTCTGTTAGACAGTGCTAGTCTAGGTTACCTGCTGTCTGATGATTCAGTTGCAGAAATCTCCACTTATTCGTGGTCATTGGTGTTCTTAAGAAAGCTGTCGACCACTGCCTTGTAAGCTGTAACCTTGGGCACCACCTCTCCAGCCTCTGTTTTCCCATCTGTGAAATGAGATTTGAACTAGACAGTCTAAAGTTTGTAGACATCTAAGTAGAAATGTAGCATGTGCTGCCAGAATTGTCATTTTTTCACTGATTTGTAACTCCTTGATGGGTTTTACCTGTGACATTAGCTCTGTGTAGATAAATGTAAAGCATAATTTTAGAAAATACATTAGTGTCCAATTTGTAGTTTTACTGTGAGGGCAGACAGAACATTGGCTGGTGAATAAAATTTCTCAGCTACTCATGTTTGAATTCCAGGCACATTTAACCATACTGACAGGCTGACACGACAATGAGACCTCCAGGCATTTGAACAGATACATGTAGTTAAGAATAGAAATGAAAATGTGATGCTATTTAAGAATTTAACTGACAGTGGTACCCAACGTTTCATAACTCCCTCATAATAATGATAATGTTTTCCAAGCTATGCTCCCTGGCTCTAGGTCTACGGAGCAGGAGAGGGGAGTCTGACCAGATGGGGCTCAGCCTTCTCTCCAGTCCACCTCCACTTTTATTACTTGGATCTGCAGACTGTTTCTTTAAAAGTCTGCTAAAAGAAAAATAAAGCTTGAAAACAACTGCCGTAAATGTATCTTAATTCTCCCATCCCCAAGATGTGTTAATATTCTTGTTGGTACTCAAACGGTCTCGTCCCTGGCTAGTGGAAGCCTCTTGGCTCCCAAATCCTTGTGTTGTCATCCACATGCATACAACATACCAAATAAAACTAGATGCCTAGCCTGATGTGAGGAATATTATTTATTTAAAATAAGTAACTAATAATTTAAATATTTAAACAGGTTATTTTTAAATGCTTTGCACTTTGATACTGTGCTCAGTTATCCAGGTTTAAATTTAAATCGGTGAATTCTATAGTGAATTGGAAATTACATCTCAGTCAAGTTGTTATAAAACAAAAGCAAATATTCAAGTAGTACATGATAATGTTGGAAAATTTTAAAGCCTGGGGTTACTTTTAAAGCTTTCTGTTTTCTATTCAATTAAAAGATACAGAAAAGTACAGAAACAGATTATTGCACACCCTCCCACGCCCTTCCACACCCATACCTGCATTTCAGAAATTAAACACATCTGGCATTCCAGAGGCTGACTCAGCAGCCCACATTCAGCAGATTTCACCACTCCTTGGAGGGGAAGGAAACAGGGGTGGGCTCTGCCGGAGAGCCAGCTGAAGGAGCACAGGCTTGGCATGCCCAGGCCTACTCCTTTGCATGACGTAACAAATGGCAAGTAAGAGTGTTGAGGTGGGTGGTTTGCCAGGTAACTTCCTTTTATCCCAGAGTACTGGATTTAGAGCTACTACAATTGGTTGACGTTGATCTTTACAGGAAGGAGCTAGTGCCCAGTAATCTCTTCATGTGGATCATTGTGTTGCAGACATTCAGTAAATCCTCACTGTTAGGAACATCCAAGGGAAGCAGCACCATCCTGCAGTGAGGAATGATTTGAAGAATATTTACATTTTGGATTGTGGGTGCCATTTTTTCTTTCTTATTTCAGCTAACTTTAGTTTTACTTATAGCTTGTTTTAGATGCACTTAAAGGATTGAATTTTTGCCTCTTTAAAAAATTGGCTGTGAGTTCCAAAGAACAAGTCTGTGGAATGTTCTCTAGAACTTGGTCTGAATTTTGGAATTTGTGCCTTTAAATGTCTGTGATTTGCATCTGTACACAACAGAAGCCCACAGAGATATGTATTTGAGTTTGTACATTGAGCCTTGCCAGCACAAACATAGAATATGTGGTCACAGTAGTCTCTCATGTCATTAATATTGGTTTGCTCCTTTTTCTGAGAAAGTCGGGCCTCAGATTATACCCGCCAGCCCATGGTTGGACACCATGGTGACACAGCATGGTTAGACGTCATGGGAGACCACCCAAGACATGGAAAAATATTTGTTTCCTTGGCTTGAAAACTTTAAGAAATGTGTGACACTGACGCAGTGGGTGTTAAGTTGTAGTTAAAATACTTCCTAAATCTTTTGTCCTGATTTCCTCATCTTTCTTCATTCTCTAGGGAAAGACATTCCTGGACAGGCATCTCTGGTGTTTGATGTTGCATTATTGGACCTCCATAACCCCAAGGACAGCATCTCCATCGAGAATAAGGTAGTGCCTGAAAACTGTGAACGACGAAGTCAAAGCGGGGACTTTCTCAGGTATCATTACAATGGCACGCTTCTGGATGGCACACTGTTTGATTCCAGGTAAGGAAACCACAGGAGCCTTCACTCACCGGAACATCTTATTAAATATAGTTTACTGCTGGCTGGACCATGATTTGCATACTCTGTTAGTGCCAATTTGGAGTTAGTGTTTTCATCTCCAATACAGGTTTCTATTTCCTGATACTGAATTCCTTCAGAGGCTATTATAACAGTCTCCTTGAAGCCTGTGGGAGATGGGTCTGCAGGAAAGCAGGAGGCTCACCCCAGACTCCCACCATCTCTCTATACTGTGCTCTGCTATCCAAGTATAAACCCAACAGTGGGGTCCAAGATGGGAATGACCAGGAGGGAGGTCCAGGCAGTAGGATGGGAAAAGAACAGGCTTGGTGCCAGGAGACCTGGGTTTCAGTCCCTGTGTGTCGTGCACTATTGGTGTGACTTTGGACAGCGTTTAAACTCCCTGAGCTTCAGTTTTTTCCCCTGTTGGTAGCACCTCTCTCTCTTTTTTTTGTTTTTTTTTCCCCCAGTTCACTGAAATACATTCTTGTGTGTATGTGTGTGTGTGTGTTTAATGAAAGTATAGTCAGTTTACAATGTTGTGTCGATTTCTGGTGTACAGCACAATGCTTCAGTCATACATGAACACATATATATATTAGTTTTCATATTCTTTTTCACCATAAGTTACTATAAGATATTGAGTATAGCTCCCTGTGCTATACAGTATGAACGTGTTGTTTATCTATTTTATATATAGTAGTTAGTATCTGCAAACCTTGAACTCCCAATTTATCCCTTCCCACTCTCTTTCCCCCCTGATAACTAAGTTTTGTTTTCTGTGAGTCTGTTTCTGTTTTGCTAATAAGTTTATTTGTGTCCTTTTTTTCCCACATGTAAGTGATATCATATGGTATTTTTCTTTCTCTTTCTGGCTGATTTCACTTAGAATGACAATCTCCAGGCCCATCCATGTTGCTGCAAGTGGCATTATTTTATTAGTTTCTATGGCTGAGTAGCACCTCTCTGAAAGAGATGGTGAGATTAAAGAGATGAAGTAGATGAAAGCACTTTGCAAACCTTAAAGGCTTATCTGCTGCAGGGATTGGTTGGGTGAATTCAGCTCCCATCCTGAGGCTGCAGAGGCTAATTACTAAACCTGCTGTTACTCAAAGTTTTGTTTTGTTTATCGGGCTTAGCTGGCAGTCATGAGCTGGCAGCAAGCATTTGGTCGGTGTTGCTCATTCAAGTGGCATGGGTTGTTTGGAAGGCATTCCTTTAGCTTCCTGTAGAGCGAACAAGTAGTGATAGCAATCTACCTGCCTCTCTGAGGTAAGGCTTCTCGTTTATTTAGCTATCCAGAAACATTACAGAAGAATTAAAAAAAATTTTTTTGTGGGCGGAGATAATTAGGTTTATTTATTTATTTTATTAGTATCTTTTTAATGGCGGTACTGGGAATTGAACCCAGGACCTCGTGCGTATTAAGCACACACTCTACCACTGAGTTATCCCTTCTGTCCCAGAAGAATTTTTAAATTTTATTTTCTTTGAATAATTCATTTTTCCTACTCCTAGAATCTTTTCTTTTAAATTTTTCATCTGAGATATTTTTGGGGGGGAAAATTCAATCATCACATTGTTCAAAATTAAAACAAAATAGGCATTAGAATATGTTGTGGGGGGGAGGGTAATAGCTCAGTGGTAGAGCACATGCTTAGCATGCAGGAGGTCCTGGGTTCAATTCCCAGTACTTCCACTAAATAAATAAATAAATAAACCTTACATTCCCCCTTCCCCCTACACACAAGAAAAAGAAAAAAAATTCTCTATTAGGATTTTTATTTTAAAAGTATTATGTTCTTATTGTATAAGTGAAACAATGCAAAGATATTTAATACAATGTACCCCTTCCCTCCTCACCTCCCATAGTAAATATTAAAAACCTCCCACAGGCTCCCTCCATGCTTATAAATACTTTCATGTTTAAATCTTCATTCCATCTGGAATTTATTGTGGTGTTCAGCATGACAGTAAGGATCTAACTATTTTTTTCCAGACGGTTAGCTAAGTTTTTCCAATACCCTTTATTGAGCAACTGTCTTTTCCTCACTCATCTAAAATCTGATATTTATTATATACTTTGTCTAGAATTTTTATCCTTTTCCAGTGATCTAGCCATTCCTGCCCCAGTATCACTCCTCTAGCTATTGCAGCTTTTAAATTTGTATGATAGAGAGTATTCTTTTTCTTTCTAAACATCGTTTTTCCCTACTAAGTGATACATTGACATGGCTCAAAATTCTAAAAGTATAAACGAATATACAATGAAGAATTTTTCTCCTATCCTTGTCCCTCAGTCACCCAGTTCCCCTGTTTACAGGGAACCAGTGTAATGAATTTCATAGGTCTTCCACACACATACAATGAAATGCAGATAATTCTGTAGATAATCTGCTTATTGGGTGGAGAATCCTTTGTTACTATCATTTCTTCACGCCCCTTGGCTTTGTGGTCTCTGAGGGGTGTTGAGAAGAGACAGCCTCTCACTGCTCTGCCTTTTCTTCTCCCTGGCCCCCCACTGTTGGCCATCTTCTCTGAGGCAGTCATCCTTGGGCTGTATCGGATGAGGTGATGGCGGAACTGACTGGCTCTTTCAGGACAAGCTTTTTGCCACATCTGCTCCAAGTGGGGATGGATAAGGGGTGCAGATCACTGTGATTCAGAGTTTGGTAGTAGATGTGGCATATGAAGTTTTATTATTGTATTCTGAAATCATCAGGCTTTGGGAAATGTATTCCTGTTCTCTCCAAATTCATAGTAATTAGACTCAACTGGCAAATTATACAGAGGCTGGCTCTTTCCACTGAGTGGAGTGCTTGGACCTCCAGCCAGAGGCACTTGGGAAACCCAGGTACCCACCAGGAGGTGGCCTGGTGAGCAGGGATTGCCGCACAGCAAATTTATCCAGGCTCTGGTGGAGGCTGCAGAGTTAAATTGCTCTCAGTATATATGCTACTTTTCTGCCAATACAAATATTCGTGTCTTATATATACAGATATTCTCCTCTTTAGAGAAATTCTTAGGTTTGGTTTTTTTTTTTTTGCTTTAATTTGAAACTTTATTATTTAAAAAAATTTTTATTGAAGTATAGTTGATTTACAATGTTTATTAGTTTCTGGTGTACAGCAGAGTGATTCAGTTATATATATATGTGTGTGTATATATATACATATATATATATATATATTTCACATTCTTTTCCACTGTGGTTTATTACACAGTAGGACATTGTTGTTTATCTATTTTATATATAGTAGTTTGTATCTGCTAATCCTGAACTCCTAGTTTATCCCTTCCTTACCCCCTTTCCCCTTTCCCCTTTGGTAACCATAAGTTTGTTTTCTATGTCTATGAGTTGGCTTCTGTCTTGTAAATAAGTTCATTTGTGTCATATTTTAGATTTTACATATAAATGATATCATCATATGATATTTGTCTTTCTCTTGTCTGTCTCTCAGTATGATAATCTCTAGGTCCATCCATGTTGCTGCAAATGGCATTATTTCATTCATTTTTTATGGCCAAGTAGTATTCCATTGTGTGTGTGTGTGTGTGTGTGTGCGCGCGCGCGCGCGCGCATATGTGTGTGTGTACACCACATCTTCTTTATCCAGTCATCTGTCAATGGACATTCAGTTTGCTTCCATGCCTTGGTTATTGTAAATAGAGCTGCTAGGAACATGAAGGTGCATGAATCTTTTTGATTTATAGTTTTCTCTGGATACATGCCCAGGAATGGGATTGCTGGATCTTATGGCAATTCTATTTTTAGTGAAATTTTATTTTAGAGTAATAGAAGACACTAAAACTTCTTTCTAAATAAAACACTTTCTTTACAAGAGATAACAGAGGAATTCTTAGTTTCTGATAAGGGCCCTTTGGACACTTTCTTCATTAACTTGACATGGTCATGGAACGTTCAGTCTGATTTATATTAGTTACGTTTTTTCATGATTGCTTGTTGTAACCCGCATTTCATTCATAACGTGACCAAACTAGAGGACTGGAGGGCTGGTTTCTGGGAGGCTTCTGCAGGCTGCATCTCCGAGGCTGTGTATGGATCCTTGTTCACCATTTCAGAGGAGCATGTTTCTTGGATTTTACTCAGATTCTAGGGTTCAGCCTATTCCGAGATCTGGAGGCCCCTGCGCTCTTGCCTCATGATACCGACTATGCAGCTGTTCTGACGGCTCTCGTGACCAGCATCTTTTCTTGTTTCGCAGCTATTCGCGGAACCGCACCTTTGACACGTACATTGGGCGGGGCTACGTGATTGCCGGGATGGATGAAGGTTTACTTGGCGTTTGCATTGGAGAAAAGCGGAGGATTGTGGTCCCCCCTCACCTGGGGTATGGCGAGGAAGGAAGAGGTAAGCGCTGGCTACCGTCCTAAGGTGAAACGAGCAGCCTTCTCTGGGTACGTCCAGGATGCTTGGAACCGGGGCCTCTGGAGAGCCAAAGCGTAGAAGCTAAAGGCCAGCTTCAGACTTGAATGATCAAATAACTCTAGTTTCTAGAGATGCTCTGTCGTTTCTCCTCATTCCCCCTGCCCATTTCCCTTTTCCTTTTGGAATATTTAAAACCTACACAAAAGTTGAAAGAACTGTACAGTGAACTCCACTCATATTCGCCATTTGTTAACATCTTTATTTTCTCTCTCTATATTACGTTTTTTTCCTCTATTGAGCCATTTGAAAGTAAATGGCAACCTCCCCTTTTCTCTTTTTGCTTTTATTGAGTATATCTGACATGCAACATTGTGTAGATTTAAAGTGTTCATGTTATTTTGACACATTTTTATATTGTAATGATTGCCACTGTAGTGATAATTAGCACCTCTATCACGTTACATAATTATTTCTTTTTAGTGGCTGGAATAGTTGAGATCTAGTCTTTTGGCAAGTTTGATGATTATAGTACAATTCTGTTGTTTATATTCACTATACTGTGCATTAGATCTCGGTTTTTGTTTTTTAATAACTTGAGGTATTTTGTGTATACCATAAAATTCACCCATTTAAGTGTACAATCCAGTGACTTTTAGTAAATGTAGTGAGTTATGCAAGTACCACCCTAATCCGGTTTTAGAACATTTTTGTCACCCGAACAGCAGCAAACTCCTTTTTAAAAATTACATAATTAATATATGTTAACTCAGAAAAAGAGAATAGAGATAAACAACCACCACCACAATAATCTCACCACCCAGGTATGAGCATTGTTAATGTGGGAGGTGGCATAGTGGCCCCAAAAGATGTCAATGTCATAATCCCCAGAACCTGTGAGTATGTTACCTGACATGGTAAAAGGGACTTTGCAGATGAGTTTCAGGTAAGGATCTTGAGATGGGGAGAGTATCCTGGATCATCCGGTGGCCTTGATGTACTTACAAGGATCTTTGTAAGAGGGAAGCAGGAGTCCAGAGAGGAGAAAATGCTAAACTGCTGACTTAGAAGATGGAGGAAGGGGCCACAAGTCAAGGAATGAGGGTGGCCCTGAGAAGCTGGAAAAGGCAAGGAAACAGATTTCCCCCTGAAACCGATTTTCCCCTGAAACCTCCCAAAGAAATACATCCCTGCCAATACCTTGAATTTAGACCTTTGACTCCAGAGTTACAAGAATAAATTTATGTTGCTTTAAGCCACCAAGTTTGTGGTAATTTATTATAGCAGCAGGAAACTGGTAACAACCATGGAGTGAATATGCTTTTATGGTTTTGAGTATATGTGAATCTACATAGGTAAAAGGAAATACACATCCACCTACACTAATAAACACTAACAAAAATGGGATCATCCATACATATTACTTTGTAATTTCGCTTTACCTAATTTGTTGTGAACAATGTTTTATGCCAACAGGTTGCATAGAATTTTAATGGTTGCATAGCATTCCAAACCGTATTTTCTTTCTTAATTATGTTTTTTCCTCATATACCATTTTTTGTAACTTATTTAGGAACAGTTGATGCAGTGTTTATTTTGATTTTGGGTCTTTTTGTTTTTTTTTTTTTTTGCTGATGGGATTCTGGCTGGCCTGGCTGGCAGTATACATTCACTTTGTTAACCTACTTCTGACTTCTACTGCTATGTCATATGGATTTCCCAGCAGGGTTTTTTCCCCTTTTAAATGGAGGTACTGGGAATTGAACCCAGGACATCGTACATGCTAAGCATGTGCTCTACCACTGAACTCCACTCCAGTAGGGTTTCTTTAAAGGATCTAAGCAACATCAGGTTGGTCGGAAACTAGGGTGTACCACGGAGAAATATTTTTTTCTCCTTGACTTAAATTTCTGATTTAGAAAGCCACAACAAATCTCAGTTTAAGATCTTGAGATAACAGGCCTTGCTTCATGTCCCCTGTGTCTACAGTGTCTTGATGCTCTGTTGTTTTGTATTATGTAAATTTATACTTCTAGTCAAATACAGGAATAGACAAATACTTTCTGAGTATTCATGCTTCATTATGCCCTCAGGACCAATTCTTCCTTTCCCTAAAAAGAATATATTGATGGGAAACATTTGCTTATATTATTTTTCTCCTTTTGGCTTTCCATCAAGTATGAGACAGAGTTCTGCAAAGAATTATACAAGGCTGTGGGAAGCATCCAAAGTCTCATAAATTTTCTCGGCATGAGGCTGCTTCATCCTGAATCATTTGTTGCCATGGGGGGAAGGGGCACCGTGGCAGGTAACACCAGGTGCTCTTGGGTGGAGTCTGCCTCTGTCCTCTTGATTAGCCAGTGCCCCAGCCTCTTGGTGAGGTTTGCATAGGACCTAATACTGACCTGAAGGACTGACCTAAGAAGGGTGTGAAGACACAGAGGAAGTTTGTGGCCTCCTCACCACATGCTACAGGGCCAGGCACATATTAAGCATTCAGTGAGTATTTGTGGAAGGAATGAAATGCTGGGCTCTGCATGGGTTCTGCGGCTGCGTCAGCATCTTGTTTTGTTGCAGCCATTTTCTCTTGCAGGGTTGGGGGAGGGGAGGGGAAAGCCTTTGGCCAGGGCTCTGGCTCTTTCTGTCTGCTTTGTTCAGAAGGGTCAGCCCTGAACTTGGAGTGCTTGGATATGTTTGCAGCCCTGAGGTGGAGAATGAATTCTGCTGCAGGGCTGTGGAAGCATCACTTCCTCAATAGCTTTTTGTTCTCCAACTTCCAAATTACCTTTTAAGTATTCTTTTAGGAAAGTGTGAACAAAGAATGTCGTCAGGAAATGAAGGACATTGTGGCCATCAAGCCCTCAGCCCCTGCAGCTGCCCCACCCCCACCCTCCCTGCTCCCTGTGGGGATTCAGGATGGAGGACGTTGGCTCTATATAGCTAAGGAGCATATCAAAGCAATGATTTCAGTGAGTCCAGACTCTTGTATTTTTCCATACAAAGAAAAGTACTATATTCATTAACTTGAGATATCTGGTTTTTCTGTAATTAGCAGTAATCTTTTGATGTTCTTAGGCCCTGGGTTGTTTTTTTTTTTTTTGCAGAAACTCCTGTATATCCTGGCTCCTCCCTTACTTCTCTCATTTGAGTTAATTCAGACTTGAAACAAGTCTTAGTTAAGATAATGAGGCCCAGAGAGTTTGAGTCATTTGCTCAAGGCCACAGCAGCTAATCAGTGATGGAGCTGGAATTGGACCAGGGCTCTAGCCGCCTGTGTCACAGGCAGAAGGGAAGAAGGGGTTTCCATTAGGCAGTGAGTTGTCGATACCCATATAAGGAGAACTGAGAACTCCAGCCAGAAGTCCCAGGGCTCTCAGAGGAAACCCCCAGTGCCAGGAGCTGGTTCCTTCTGGCCCCGCGGACCAGCGGCCTTTATTTTTTTGCCATCGGTGTCTCTTCTTGAGGAGGCATCCTAGTGGGGAAAACTGATGACTGCTTCCGCATTGGTTAAGAGTTTATCAGAGAAGGCTGGTGTCAGGGCCATCATGAAATGTTGGATTCTTTTCACCTCTTTGCTTGTTTTGGGGAGGAAGATAATTTCCCCTCGCCCTCCTAGGTTCTTCTGGCTGGTCTAATAATTAAATTGAAGTGAGACAGATCAACAGGAGGAAATCGAACCTTGATGACACGTATATGTGGGAGAGACCCAGGAAAACAGTGACTCACCAAAATGTCTGAAGCCCTCACCTCAAATACCACCGTTAGCTAAAGACGAAAGAGGATATTGAGGGTAGTGTTCTGGGATTTTAAAGGAGAGGAAGATGATTGACATGGATATTGAAAAGCAAGTGTTTGGTAAACAAATGTTTGCTGGGCCCTGCAGCGACAATGGGACACAGAGAGAAATTTTATCAAACAGACTTTGCTAGGTTCCTTCCTGTCTAAGCACCTAGTTCCTACTGTGGTTATCTGTGGTGACGACTCCCTTCCTGGAACAGGTTCTCTCCCTACACTCTTTAGGCTGTTAGGCAGGAAGTGAGAAGTACTTTTTTTTTTCCTTTTGAGTCTTTTGGGCCTTGATTGTTTTGGGCTCAAAATAATTCACATGGAGGGGGAGGGTACAGTTCAGTGGTAAAAGCATGTGCTTAGCATGCATGAGGTCCTGAGTTCAATCCCCAGTACCTCCATTAAAAAGACACTAATAATAAAACATTTTAAAATTCACATGCCAAAGAGACATTTTTGGGGTGACAAATCCCCCCCAACACTGATCAGCATTTGTATTATAGGTTCTTTGAAGAAGGCAGAGCAGGATAGAGGGAATGAGGGTGGCAGGGGTGCTGGCTGCCTGGGGCAGGTGGGACCTTATGGCTCAGGGTTTGGTATTGATTTTTCACAGGTCCAACAACCCCATCTACCCAAAGATTTATTGAGGGCCTTTAGGATCAGGCAGTGCTGTGGGTGTTGGGGAATCAGAAGAGAAAAAGACAAACAAAACTCCCAGCCCACACGGAGCTTACATTCTTGTTGACGCCTCAGTCCATGTGCATTCTGCCTTAGCCAGGCATCTGGTGGACTGACTCACGCTAACTTGCTAGGAGTTGACACAGAACCAGAACATTGAATACCTACTTGACAGGGTGTGGTTGACCTCTCCACTGATTGGAATACTTAGGCCTGGGTTAGTTACCAGGAAAGCGCTAGATAAGCTGACCTCAGAGCTCAGGGAAGGGTAGTTCTGGGACATGTTCTTTTTTGCCCTGAGAAAGGCCTGCCCATGAATGTGCCTTTGAGGATGTCGACTGAAAAAACAAACACACACACGAAACACACAGTGTGGGAGCTGTGAGTTCAGTTTTATCTGAGGACTTACTGAGGCCCAGGATACAGACTCTCAGATCGCTCTGAGGAACTACTCCAGAGGGGTAAGGAGGGAGATCAGTATATGTGTGGTTCTGAAGGGGTCCATGCAATAAAGCACACATCTCGGTAGAAGGTTACTGCTAGTCACGGGGAACAGGTATCGCAGTTACTGATTTTAGTGCTTTTCTAAGCATGAGAAGATGCAAGAATCGGGGTTCATAAAATTTTCTCCTGAAAATGTCTGACTATCTGGGGCCCTGTTCTGCCAGTTTTCCCAGAGCCAGAGTGCCCTATTCCTGATCTCCATCCTGAATTCTTTCTAGGGTGTCGGTCAGTGACTGCAGTGGCTAATGACTGAATTCTTGTAGATCCTGGTGGCAGGCAACATTCCTTAGTTGGTGCTGGGCTGCACCCCACCAGCCTGCAAGCCTTGTAGTTGCCCAACCTCAAGACCAAAGAAAGAGCCCAGAGATAGCAACGGGGCAGGGATCTTACAAGTCTGAAGCAAAAGGTCCTGGAGCGACACCCCATTGTGTATGGCAGATGACAGGGCAGGAATCTTCACTCCTCTTGGGGGAGACATGGGCTACCATTTATAGTGGGAACTGACGTCAGGTTGGTTCCTCAGTTGCCAGGGAAACCAGCGGCTGGGGCAGAAGGCAAGCATGTAGGCAGTTACTGATTAAGGCCTATGATTAAGAGATTAGATAGTCCTGTGAGTGAAGCAGGGGCTGGTTGAGCAGGGGATGTACAGAGAGCAAGAGAACAGCCATCCTGAGTGGCCTGATCATACAGTTGGCAAGAGGGGGTTAAGTTTGCATTGGCCAAATGCTGCCAGGTCTGTGTGCCTTTCTGCACTCTATCCACATGTTTTCTTCAGAGAGATTAATGGAGCTGTTCAAGATGCATCTTTCTTTTCCACAATTCACTATGTCACACCCACAGGCTGCCCATGGGGGCACATGGTCCTCTTCATTGAGATGGGGGCTCCTAAATCTCCTTTATAGACCATTTAGCATGGTGTTCCTTAAACTTGGCTGCCCCCTTTAAAAAATACAATGCCTGGTGCCACTGTACCCCAGTGGTTCTCACATGTTGGTGTGTATCACAGAATCACCTGGAGAGCTGAAAGACCGTGGAACCAGGCTCGCTGAGCTGGAAAGGGCCTGGCCCTTTGTATTTTCACCGGTTCTCCAGGACATGCTATGATAGCGCCCAAGGCTCAGAGAAGGTCACTGCATTGGACGAGCTACATCTGAATCTCAGAGCGGGGCCCAGGCATTGATTTCATTTTTAATGCTCCCAGTTGATATTTTTTAGATGATTATGATTTTTTATTTTATTCTGTGAATATGGTGTATTACATTAATTGTTTTATTGTGGTAAAATGTACATATTTACCATTTTAACCCTTCTTAAGTTTACGGTTCAGTGTTATTAAATATATTCACAGTGTTGTATAACCATCACCACTGTCTGTACCCGGAACTTCCATCATCTCCTTCATCCCATCATCTCCGACAGAAACTCTGTACCCATTAAACAACAACTCCCCGCCACCTTCTCCCCCGGCCCCTCCTAACCACCATTCTTCTTTGTGTCTCTAGGAATATTCCAGGTGCCTCATACAAGTGAAAGCAATATTTGTCCTTCTGTGTCTGGTTTCTTTCACTGAGCATAATGTTTTCAAGGTTCATTTCCCGTTGATTTTAATGGGCAGCCAAGGTTGGGAAACCACTGATCTGACTCCACAGCCACTCACCCTGTTAGCATGTGCTGGTTTCCCACACGGAGCTGCCCTTGGCCCTGATTCTGAGCACCCTGCTATGGCAGTTTGCAATACCTGATTTCTGTGGGAACAGTCCTGCACCCTGTCACCACCCACATCAGCAACTCCCCATCACTAGTGAATATCACACATCTGTGTTCTGTTGTAAACGCTTCTCTAATTACTACCTCTAACTGTGGGTGGGCATCAAAGTCTGTGCCTCAGTTTCCTTATCTGTAGGTTGGGCGTATAGGATTATAATGAGAATTAAGTAAACGTATACATCTCAAGCACTTAGAAGAGTGCCTGGTTAATAAGTACCCATCCATTACGTGTGTTAAAGAGAGAGCAGAAGAAACAGAGAAGTACTTGGTGGGGGTGGTGAGTAGTGGGAGTTGGAGGGTAGGGGCAGGGGAGGGGCTGTTGATGTTCCCGTATCTCCATCTGAATTCTGTCTATAGTTGTGTTGTCTTGTATCTGAGTTGATTTTCTTGTCTGTAAAATACTAATGAAAATATTATACATCCTTGAGTCTAAGTAATACTGTTAACAAAATTTTTACATTTAAACTTCTCTGAAATGATCAGGGAGTGTATTTAACAACTGATACCTCCTGTCCCCAGAGATGCTGTCATTAAATTCATGGAACATCTGTTAATCCTGGATTTATGGTAATATTAACCCTTCAAGTTTGCTGCAGGGATTTAATGAGAGAATGTATGTGAAAAATATTTCTTAAACATCATTCAGGTGTGGGATAATGTTTTCAAAAGTGAAGATGATAGAAATGAGAAGTATAAAAATTTTGTGTAGAACAAACAGGATGTGTTGTAAAAAGCATTTTGTTTTTTTCAACCCTAACCCCCAAGGATGATAGTATTAGGAGGTGGGTCTTTGTTTAGTTTAGTTTTGTTTTTAAGGGGGGGCGGTAATTAGGTTTATTTATTTGCTTGTTTGTTTTGATGGAGGTACAGGGATTGAACCCAGGGCCTTGTGCATGCGAAGCACATGCTTTACCACTGAACTATACCCTCCTGCTGTAAAAGCACTTGATAAAGTGTTAGGTATAATATATGAGCCAATTGTGGCTAGGTGTTTCCCCTGTGAAGTGTCTCTTGAGCACTGAAGTGATTTTCATTCTACAGCTGATTTTCTTATCTCCCCTCGTACTTCTAGTAGGAGCAGGGCAAGCCTTAATTTGGCTGAGCTTTATTTTTCTCATCTGTGATGAGGTTAGCCATAAATCCTTCAGGTTTAACCATTCCATGGGGTGATAGTACAGCGCCTTGAATTTTAATCCAAACTCTTCTCCTCACTGACTGCCGAACCTGGACAAATCTGTGCCTCAGTTTTGCCATCTATAATATTTGGGTTAAGTTCCTTCTAACAGCCTTTCCAGCTTCATTCTCCCAGTATTCCCCAGGATTTCAAAGCTGGGTCCCCATGTTCCTCACTGGAGGTCTGTGAGGAATACCTGGTGATACTGGGGAGGCACCTGTGCTGCTGCTTAAAGGATTCATTCTAATTTCCTGCATCTGCCCTTTAGGGAACATCCCTGGCTCTGCCGTGCTGGTGTTTGACATCCACGTGATTGACTTCCACAACCCTTCAGACTCTATCAGCATCACCTCCCACTACAAGCCCCCCGACTGCTCAGTGCTGAGTAAGAAGGGAGATTACCTCAAGTATCACTACAACGCTTCTCTTCTGGATGGGACCCTGCTGGATTCCACGTAAGGGCAGCCCGGGGTCAGTGGGGAGCGCTCCTGGCAGATAACAGTTGTGTGTTCCCACTATCCTCCTTCTCTCTTCAACAGATACCGGTTTAGAGCTTTTACCTCCATGCCTTTCACAGTGCATATCTCAAGCGTACATCACTGTTCTGGTGCACTGTTCTGAGAGTTCCCTATGAATGGTCTCATCCTGCACCTGTGAAATTATTTTTCTGAAAAACAGGTCTCGTCCTATCAATCCTGTCTTTAAAAATTAACCCACAGATAAAATGCAAACTCCAGAGTCTGGGACATCAGGCTTTCTTGTCAGCTCCATTCTGCCTCACCACTCTCATCTGCTGAGGCCCGTCTCCCGCCTCCCAGGGAGCCATGTGCGCTGGTGAAGGATGTGCACTGCTTACACCCTTCCTTCTGGCTACCTTCTGCCCTTGCTTAAATGCCTTCCCTTTTCTCAAAACCTTTGCTTAATTCCTAGAGAGAATCAACTGCTCCCACTTCTGTAGTCTCATATGCTTTATGTAGTCCCTGCCTTTTAGTTATTTTTGTTTCCATCACTGTTGCTGGTGTGAACACCTTAGCCGCTTAACATGTTTCCCCATATTATTCCTTACATCTAGCCCAAAACACAGCACAAAGGGAGTATTTTGTAAATGTTAATTGAGATGAATCTGAAAATATATTGCTGGGTATCAACAGTGTATGCTAGTATTATGCAGATAAAAGGAGCTTTGCTTATATATCTGAATCTCCAGAGATACCTATAAATTAGTGCACTATTCTCTTCTTTGGGAAAGAAACATTTTCAGCATTTATGTCTCCATATAAGTACATCCATTTTTGCACTGAACCTGACTTAGATTCCTAAGTTTAGTCTTGGGAAGAAGGAAGGACTTCATATAAGTAAAAATGTGCTACTGCATTTATTCTAGATCGGGAGGGTCTTCTCCCTCTCCCACCCATCCCTCCGCATTCTAGGTTCAGGTGACAGAGGGAAAGCCAGGCATGGAGAGAGCACATGAGGGACACACTCTTCAGAGCATTCTCTCTGGTGCTATGAGGTTCTGGACACTAACACATTTAGTGTATTTCATCAGATCTAAAATGTGTTGCTTGTTAGAAGTGTCATTTTATGTATCTCAAGAAAGTAAGAATGCTGCCCCCAAATAATGACATGCTGTCCATCGTGAGACATATCCCAAAGAAAGAGATGTTAAAATGTGAATCAATTAAATATGCACTGGTCTCTGGGTCCCAGATTTACAGGGACCTGGCCTACAACAAAGCTCGCACTGATGATTAGAAGCCTTTGGGGGACAGCAGGGAAGAAGCGTGAATATAGTTGCTGGGAAGCAAGTGAGCTTATGCGTGGGGAAATGGTCTACAGGATTAGAAGAGCCTGTAAGGCTGATGGGTGGCGGGCATTGCTCTGGCCAACGTTTGTGTTCTTGTCTGGTGCTCTTAGGGCCTTGGGAAGAGAAAAGGGGTGGGAAGTGAACAAAGGAATTCCTTTTCTGGTGGGTTCAGGATATGCTTCTCATGCAGGGTGGGTAGAATCAGTCTTCCTGCTTCTGTGTGTGTTTGGTGGATGTACAACATTCTTACAGAGCATCCGGCAGCCATGTGATGCTCCTTCTTGTTGTCAGAGATTCCATTCTGAACCCTGAGAGTCATTTGCGTTATGTTTAACCATAGTTTGTTTTTTGTGCCTATGAGTCATGGCTATGTTACATTTATATACACATATATTTTCAGATTCTTTTCCATTATAGCTTATTAGGAGAAACTGAATATAGTTCCCTGTGCTGTACAGTACGTTACGTGTAAATTGACACAGAAGAGCAGTGTCCAAGCATCCCTGCTGGTCTCTTCTGGGTGGAAGCTTCAGAATAATGGGACAGTGAGGAGTGTGGCAGGTGTCTGCTTACCTGCGTGTGGGAGAGGAGCCCCTTCTGGAAGAGGGGTCCTGGTCCCACCCCAGCCCCAACGTGGGCCCTATAAACAAGGAGGCAGGAGCTGCTGTGGTCGATTGTTCATCAGGGCTAGGAGAATCCGCAGTGGAGAGGGTAGAGGGGAACGTGGGCAGAGAGCCAGGGAGGGCTGCCTGCTGCAGGAAGCAGGAAGCAGGAAGCTTGTGACGGATGGGAAGCCGGGACTGCACAGAAGGAATGAGGAGAATGTCTGAGAGAAAACCCAGCAAAATAAAAACAAAAGGATGACTTGAAGAAAAAGAATTAGTGGGGTTTTTGGAGATGACACATGAAAACAAATTGCTTGCTTGGAGGATTTTCTTAATGTGTGTTGAAACTGGCCTCAGTGGAGAAGAAACATTTGTTATTCGCTAACTAAATGAGTTCTTGGATATTCTGTAAGACTTGGAAACCTAGTAGTCCCACGGGAAGTTCCCCAGTGGTCCCTGGAAAAGGCATGAGAGGGTGCCTCTGTGCTACTGACAAAGGAGGGATTGTGTCGGGGGAAGGACAGAGGACGTCCTGTGCTAGAAGTGGCCTTGTTTCGGCTTCGTCCCAGGTACGGCAAATGCAAACCCTGTTTTGGTTTGCCGGCTCCAGAGAACCAGCTTGAGGAGGGAGGGAGGCAGCAGCCCTGCCCCCAGGGGAGGCCGGCAGCCTGAAATGGGATGTGACCAAAGGAGCAGTCCCTTCGTGTTGTGTTGTCACCACCTGGTGGTGGGCATCAAGGGGGCTCTAAGATATCCGGGAGGCTTTCCTTCCTGGACATTGAAGAACATTCCCACTGTTTGCCTTTAGGAAGTGATAGGAATACCATAGATTTGGAAATAGATTTACTTTCTTTTCTACTCTTTTCTGTTTTTAGATTTATTTATGTATTTATTTATTTTAATGGAGGTACTGCGGACTGAACCCAGGACCTCGTGTGTGCTAAGCATGTGTTCTACCACTGAGCTATACCAACCCCCCCTGGAAATAGATTTACTTCCGATAGTGACTGAGGTGACTGAGCCAACTTTTATTTATCTAGATTCCCGAGGACCTTGGGCATCAAGGATCGTTAAAACCGTGGCCCAAATGAAACTCTCACTTATTTTTCTGGAGTCATAGACTATTACAGACACAAGCACTTTACACCCTGAAGACCGTCCTTTCATTGAGCTCTTTATCCTTGCTCTCTGCTGTGCCAGGCATAATACGTTATTTACTATTTAGGATATTCTGTGTAATAACTGTTATCTCCATTTTATGCATGAGGAAACTGAGAAATTATTTCCTAGGGTCAAATTAAGTGGCAGAACCAGGATTCAAACCCAGGTCTTGCTGAATCCAAAACCCAGGATCTTAGTTATATATTTTTTAAAATTCTCATGAAAATTTCCACCTAGAACATTGAAACTTAAGAGAAAAATTGCTAACAGTACACAGAACCTTTTTTCCTCTGAACCACTGGTGAGTAGGAAGCCACTAAGGTCCCATCACCTCTGGAAACTTCAGTGTACATTTCCTGCGAACACACACATTCTCCTACGTAATTCAGTACATACCTTAAAGTCAGGACATTAACAGTGATACGTTACTACCTCTTAATTCTCAGTCCCCACTTGAGTTTTGCTAAATGTCCTCCTAAGGTCTTTTAAGCAAAAGGATCCGTTCCAATATGCTCCAACATTCTGAACAGTCCCTCCTCAGTCTTCCCTTGATTTTCACCTCAACATTTTTTTAAAAATTTCAGGCTGGTTGTTTTGCAGAATGGCCCTGAGTGTGGGTTTGTCTGATGTTTCCTTATGATTCCACAGGCAATCTGTACCTTTGGCAGAAAGATCACGGAAGTGATGTGTTCTTCTCAGGAGAACCCTCTCAAGGACCAGTGGGCTGATGACCTAACTAGGGACTCTTCTGTTTCATTTTCAGGTGGAATTTGGGTAAAACGTATAATATTGTTTTGGGATCTGGACAAGTTGTGCTGGGAATGGATATGGGTCTCAGAGAGATGTGCGTTGGCGAGAAACGGACTGTGATCATTCCGCCCCACCTGGGCTATGGGGAGGCTGGCGTGGGTGAGTGTGCAACTGCGTGAAAAGGTGTTTGGGGCACATTCCCCGTCTGCGGTTTGTGCCTTTTGAGGCGCTGTGTTTAGAGCCACAATATGTTTCTTCCACTTAAAACCCAAAGAATCTGTGGTTTTTAAGTGTCTAGCATTTTTTAACTAAAGACCCCTGTGAATTCAGTGTTAATACCATGTTAGTGGGGTTAAGCAGGGGTTTTTGTGAAACAAACCTTGACTTTTCAAACTCACCTGTGGGAAATGTCCCTGAAGGGGCTTCCCACATGATTTCTCTTAGTCAAGACAGGTGCTTCCTTGGGAACTGTTTCCGAGGACGGTGGGATGTTGAACTTGTAAGCTACCCAAGGAGATTTCCTTGTGAAGAGATTGGTTTCAAGCTCTGGCAATACTGGCCTTATGTTGCCCTCACAGCTGTTGTGGTTTATTTCATAACTTTGGCCAAAATGAGCCCTTCTCTTGGGGGGTGTGGGAACTCTTTCAGTTTTTATGCTCCTGCTACCTGCAGATGGAGGAGATGGAGGAGATGAAGGGCCAACTTAGAAAAGTGATAGGCACTTTGGATTGATCCTCTGTTTCACAATTTTTAAATAATTGTAAAAATACTGTGACTTCCCCCAATCTGAGAAGAAACACTTTTAAAAATATGTGTTTGTAAGACCATGCTCCTGTGATATATTATAAATAATTCTAATATGTATTATTTTAAATTATATATATTACATTTACTTATATCCACATACTTATATAAATTCTTTTGGACTCATACTATATATACTGTTCTAGAATTTGTGTTTACAAATCACATCTTGGATCATGATTTTAAGGCAGACTATATTATTCTCAAAGTTCTGCTGTTAGATTTATTCAAAAATTCCACCACTGTAGTCTCTACTGGTGGCTTTTAAACTTTTTTCACCAAGACAGCCATTTTATCTCCCAACTTGTTATACGTAAACATACAATTTTATACATATATACATATACATTTAGTTTTATATATAAAATTCAAACTAAGTTTCATAAAATGATACCTATCCTTTCTATGCGGGGTATACCCTGATTTTATTCTATTCCTTAGCTGAGAACGATGCTGCTCATCATCCTCAATATTGATTTCATGACTCACTACCTACAGTTTGGAGAAACCACTTGCTGATGCTGAACTTTCTTGCTTTCACAAGACAGGGCTCCAAACACAAGGCGGCTAAACCCGGGTTGCGGGGGAGGTTGAGAGGGACGTGCCCACTGCCCTGTCGTTAACACTGCCTCCTCCCCTGTTGGTGCGGCAGATGGAGAAGTGCCCGGCAGCGCGGTGCTGGTGTTTGACATCGAACTGCTGGAGCTTGTGGCCGGCCTGCCAGAAGGGTACATGTTCATATGGAACGGCGAGGTGTCAGCCAACCTCTTTGAAGAAATCGACAAGGATGGTGATGGAGAAGTCCTCCTTGAAGAGGTAACTGAAACCTTTTTGAAAGGAGGTGGGACCCAAGGAACCCAGGGAGCCTTACTGGGCTGGGGGACCCATCCTGTATGTGAAGCCTCTCGGAGTGAGGAAGACACCTGTGCTTGTTTCTTGTGATGGTAACCTGCACACTCACACACCAAGCACTTGCACATGCACTCTCTAAATTGAAGCTCACAATCCCTGTTTGAAGAAACCGAGGCCCTGAGAAGTACAGGGCTTGATTCCAGGGCTCACAAGTATGGTTTCAGTTCCTGGGTGCTCACTGCAGCCTGCACTGTACTAAGTGTTTTCACATATATCACCTTGCTTGACCCTCACAACAGTCAAGTAAGCATCCCTGTTTTTCAGGAGAAGCAGCTGTGCACAGAGAGGGTAAATGACTTGCCCAAGGTTGCACAGCAATCCAGTGGTTTGAGTCGGGATACACACCCCTGTCTCGGTCATCTAGATCCTGTATTGTTTCTCCTGCCCCAGACACTCCTTTGTGGAGCTGGGCATAGAGTCCTAGTCTTGTCACAGCACTGGGGAATTCCAGCTTATTCCACATCTGCTTCAAGGATGCAGCTCCAGCCTCCTCCCCTTTCTCTCTTCTGTCATCAGCATTTCCCTACTACTGGGTCATCCACAGTAGCATAAGAACATGCTGCTATTTCCCCTTCTCTTGACACGTCTTTTCTTTCTTTTCTCTCTTTATAGCAAAAACCTCAAGAGTTGTCTGTCCTCCCTGCCTCCAGTTCCTTTCCTCCTCATCTCTTTCCCACCACTCCTGTCAGCTTTTTATCCCTCCACATCACTGAACCTGGTCTTGCTAGGGAGCGGACTCCAGTGGTCAGTTCTCACTCTACTTCCTTGCGGCGGACTCCTTTGCGGGCCGCCTTCTTCCCCCGGCTTCTGGCTGCCAGGGCTTCTCGGTGTTCCTCCTGCCTCACTGGTAGCTTCTTTTCAGGAGTCTTCTCCCTGGGCTCTTCATGGTGCAGTGCTGTGGGCTAAGTCCTGAACTTGAGCTCCCTTTCCCTCACTCCCTTGGTGGCCTCAGCCAGTCCCGCTGTCTTTACCATCCTTGTCCCGATGACTTCCAGATCAGTATCTCCGGCCCCATCTTCTCCTTCACTTTCACACTCACATATCCAATTGCCAATTCCACATCTTCATTTACTGACCCCTGATGATCCACCCTGCTGAACATGCGTCACCCAAAGCCTTCCCCATCTCAGGTGATGGCAATGCTTTCCTTCCAGTTGCTCAGGTGAGAGCGCTCAGCAGTCTGATTCCTCTCTTCCTCTCACAGGTTATAGTAAATCCATCAGGAAGTTATTCTAGCTCTAGCTTGAAAGTAGATCCGGAACCTGACCACTTCTCATCACCTGCGCTCCATAGCATCTTAGTCCAGGTCCCACCTGGACTTCTGCAAAGGTCTTCCTGCTCTCACCCTTGCCCCTCACAACAGCCAGAATGACCCTTCTAAAACAGAAGCTGGGTCATGGCCTGCTTCAGTTCAGAACCCTGGAGAAGCCTCCTGTTGGGCTGCACCCTGCAGGCCTGAAAGCCTCATGGTTGCCCAGCCTCAAGACTGAAGAAACAGACAGTGACAGAGACATCAACAACTTATTGGACAGGGGATCTTACGTGTTTGCAGCAGAAGGTCCTGGAGCAACACCCCACTATGTACCGCAGACAGCAAGGACATGGCAGGGATCTTCACTACCTGGAGGAGAAGGAGGCTACCATTTATAGGGGGAACTGACGTCACATTGGCTTTTCAGTTACCTGGGAAACCAGCAGCTGGGACGTGTCCCTCACAGCCCCTCACGTTAACGACATCACGAGGACAGATGCTTCCCTTTAATAAACTAGCAGGTGGAGCTGTTCTGGACTAAGGATCAGAACAATCTCTGGCTGGGGCAGAGGGCAAGCACATTCTTGTGTGTAGGGTATAGGTGAAGCAGGGACTGGTGGAGCACAGGATGTACAAAGAGCAAGAGAACAGCCATCTCCAGTGGCCTGACCATACCCAGCCCCCATTTCCCAAGTGTTTACAGTGGCCTGTTAGGCCCTACAAAGGCCCACCCCCTGCTTGCTGTAACCTCCCCAGTGACTCTCCTCTCGCTGTCCTGTGAACACACTGGGCATCCACCCATCCCAGGTCTTTGCACCAGCTGTTCTTTGCTCAGAAGACCCTTCCCCTGGATAACTGTTGGGCTCATTCTCACTTCCTTCAAGCCTTTGCACAAGTCTGTCTTTCTCACTGGGGTCTTACCCCGACCACTGAATTGATACTTCAACCCGTTCCCCTACCTCTACTTGATCTTCCTCACTTGGCTCTACTTTTCATTTCTCTGGAGAATTTCACTTTCCAACTTTATAGTTCACTTTAAAAAAATGTTCCTTTTTAATTGCGTGTCTTTTCCACTAGCATGTACTAGAATTCCAAGGGCAGGATATTTTGTATGTTTATTGATGTATCTCCAGGGTCTAGGATGGTGCTCCGCACACGGTAGATAGTAAGTTTTTATTGTGTGAATGAGTGAATGAATGAATGAACACAGGCAGCATGTTCTCAAAGGCGAGGGTGGTTAGGGGATTGGCCTTTGGTCTAAAATTAAGTGTTGATTTAGGGAAAGGGGATAGTTCCAGTGGCTGCTGTGTATTGGCTGCCTGGGACCTAAGGGGTCCTGGAGTCATTTCTTCAGGGGTTTTTAACCTGCATATGGAGGGAAAAACCCAGGTCATATAGCTCCTTAGATTTTGTCTGTTCTGCTGGCTCAGACTTACTGCCCTCAGGCTGCTCTGCTCAGGCTCTGGCTTGGTATTCTTGGCTGCTGTATCTCATGGTCTATCCTGTCCCCTTTCTCTCCAGTTCTCAGAGTACATTCATGGCCAGGTGGCATCTGGCAAAGGGAAACTCGCTCCTGGATTTGATGCTGAGATGATTGTGAAGAATATGTTCACCAACCAGGACCGGAATGGAGATGGGAAGGTCACAGCTGAGGAATTTAAACTCAAAGACCAGGAGGCCAAACACGACGAACTCTAAACCTGACATGAGCCACTTGTGTGACACCAAGCCCTCTGTCGTGGCAAAAAGTGCAGTGAGGGTCTCTCAGAAGAGAATCGTCAGCAAGTAGTACATGGGTCACATAGTACCTGGGACATACATCATGGTGGGTTGATACACATGGTGAGACTTTTAGGCTGATGCTAAACCAAATCAGTGCAGGTGCCTTAGCATGGGCTGTGGAGAATATCGAAAAGGCTGCATTGTCAGCCATTGTTTTCTGGGTACCGTCTGGGTAGTTTTGTTATTAAAGGAAAATAGTGTCATACAGAAGTTATAACCATCTTGGAGGGAACGGAAGAAAAAGTGTCTAGGTTACTTATATGAAGAGGATTAAAAATTTTTTTGGCCTGCTGGTGTTTTAAAAGTGTTCTCCAGATGGGCAGAAAAGACAGAGGGCATGCCTCAGCAGGACCCAGATAGCCCAGAAAACTCTTCCCAGCGGCCCTTAGAGGCTCGGTAGTGCCCAGCCTCCACTGTCCCTCAGTACACACACACACACACACACACACACACACACACTTTTCTAGTTAATCACACCCCACCTCACTGTGGTCTTCCTATTGGCTGGGTAACTTGGGGGTTAAAAAGAAAATCAGCAGACCAAAGGAAAGACTTCTTGGACCATGAGTAGAGAATTTGATTCTGCATTTGTCACATAAGGTTATCTGCTTCACTTTCTTACTCCCGTCACTCTGTCCTATTGCACTGTCTTCCTGCCCTGAATCCTTCAATCAGATGGATACATGGAGAGCTGGTGAGTATTTCACTGTGGCCAAGGTGGAAATGTCATCCCAACAGATGAGCATAAACAGAGTGATGTATTTCTGCTGCTCATACATGCCCTGGAGAGAGAGGTGCCCAAGGCCTGTGGGCCTCTGGGTAGAACAGTATTCCTGCTGGCCTGTCCCCATGTTATGCAGTAACCACCTTGCTGCCTCCTAATGTCCTCTGTTCCCAAGTGGTGGTGGCACTTACCCTGAAGTAATCAATGATTTTCCTTTTGAAACTGCTTTGTTTTACTAATTTAAACTATTTTGTACTGATGTAACCCTGAGATAGTTCATGAAGATGCTCTGCACTCATTCAATGGAATAAATGTTGGGAAATGAACTTTTGACCTATAAAGTAATGAATTACATCATCAGTTTTTGTGGTGTTTTATTTGAAGGCTCATGTAGCCCATGAGAATACACCATGCTATCAGAATCCCCTTGATAAAAACTCAGCAGGACTGAATTGAAAGGAGAATTGGAAGGAGACAACTGTATAGTATATAGGGAGGGTAGGTCAGTGAGGGTCCTAGCTGGAAACACACCCTCATATAGGACTTCTGAAGAGAACTCTTTACAGAAGTGTGGGCAGGATGTCGAGGTACCCATGACTGTTGACCAGCAACAGCAGGAAGCTATTCCACCCCTGGGCTTGAAGGATCAAGGGGAGTCCAGGTGGGGCTGCCTGGCAGTTGTGGACGGACACAGCTACTCCCAGAACTGAGGCTGGCACTGTAGCAGAGGAGTGAGGGAAGAAATGCCCATCCTCTGTCCTGCACTGGCTCCAATTAGCTGAAGCCAATCTGAAACCAGAGGGCAAGGAGCTTAGGGGCTGTTGTTCTCAGAGATCAGCGTTTTGGGGTGCAGAGGAAGGTGGAGAATGACTCTGGTGGGGGTTGGGGTCAGAGCAAATGGAGGCTAACTGGCATGTGTATAGGGAAAACATGTATATCTATATATATATTTTAAAAAGCAAATGTTATGGTTTACTTTTTGCAGGGACTCTGTGTGCTTTTGGGAGGTGAAGGAGGTGCCCATGGGCTTCCTGGCTGCTCCTGCAGCTGTCACTGATGTTCCCTCACCCTCTACTACAGAGCACAGTCACGCAGATTTCTCATTTAACAGAATTCCCATAAGTGCACTAGATAGGTTAATGCTCTGCTAAATTGAATTGTCCTTTGGAGTGCTCTTGACCTGTAACACTTTATTATGCTTACTTATCTTTATGAAGATAAAAATCTTGTGCTTATTCTCTTACCCTAGATCTTTAGTTGGTCCTCTTTGAATTTCTTCACTGGCTATTTTCTACAGTGGTGGAGACAGGCTGACTGAATAGTTTCTCTGGGGAAATGAAGGGCTGTGGGCCTTAGAGCTTCAAGAATGGAAGGAAACTTAAGCTTATTTTTGCTTTTGTACTTAAGCTGTCTGCCTGACTGCTGAGCTGGATCATTGGTGTTTTCTGGCCTTCAGACTCAAGACTGAAATATTGGCTCTTCTTGGGTCTCTGGCCTTTTGTTTTTGAGCTTTACTGAGGTATCATTATCAAAATGTAAGACATTTCAACTGTATATGATCATTTGATATAAATATACATTGTGAAAGGATTCCCCCATTTAGTTAATTAACACAAATATCCCCCCTTTTTTGGAGAACATTTAAGTTCTACTCTCAGCAAATCTCAGCTGTGCAATAGTCACCATGTTAAATATTAGATCCAGACCTTATTATAGCTGAAGTTTGTACCCCTTTACCTACTTCCCTACCCTGGTAACCACATTTTTTTTTTTTACTGTTTCTATGATT